GGCAAGGGATAGCTGTCCTTCTTCGTAACGTCGTTCAGACGGCGGTAGTCAACACAAAACCGCATGCTGCCATCCTTCTTCTTCACCAGCACCACTGGTGAACAACATGGACTAGAGGAAGGTTCAATAACACCATCATTCACCATTCCTTCAATCATGGTTTACACTTCCTTTTCACGTGCTACCGGCAATCTTCTTGGCCGCTGACGGATAGGCAATTCCTCTCCTGTGTTTATTTTGTGTTGAACTAACCCAGTCTTACCTATGTCAGCATCGTTTGATGAGAATACATCGGCGTACTTGAGTAACAACTTCTTCGCCTTGACCAATTCGTTCGGGGAGAGAACACTGCGACAGTTTTCCAAAAGTGTGGTCACTCTCGTTTCTGCATCCTTGCTGGGGGTCCCACTCGATATATATTGGCACCGACGTAACCAATCCACTTCCTCACAAGTACCAATCAGTGTGCCTTTTTCTATAATCTGTTCCCGGTCGCAAAGGTTCAGCACACGTACTCCTCAGATGTCAGTGGTTCTGACCAAGGTTCGAGCTACATTCCATGGAAGGTCATTGTTAACCCTTTCCACAAGTACACAACGGTGAGCTTGCCCAGGATTTCGAGGAAGATTAACCGGCACACTCGTTTTCGATCTCGGCGGAAGAACACTGTTCTTAATGCTGTACACGTTCCCTGGTAACGCAACTTCCATAAAAAGGATCGAAGTTGGCCCTTTTCCCCACAGCCATAGCACCTTGGGCTGTATCCTTTGTTGCGGTCGCGAACTGTAGCTGCAACCTCCCTGACGCGATGGGAACGATGATCCTGCCGCACGGCTTCCACTTCCAGTGCATGGGCCAAGGCGTCCTTAAGCGTCTCGTGGTGCCCGAGCCTCACAGCAGCTCTGACTTCCAGGTCGCGGATGCCGTCGATGTATGTCTGCACCAGGTTCCCTTCAATGAGCGCACATACAGACCGGTATGCTTTTCGCACCAGCTACTCCACTTCTAGAGGCCACTGCTGCAGGTTTTCGTTGATGCGCTGCACACGATCTTTAAGCTGCGCACGAAAGACGTGTTCCAGATGAGCGTCGCCATATCTCGCCTCCAATGCCTCAAGGAGTTGCTCATAAGTCACTTCCTCACCGAGAACTTCCAGAACAGTTAAGGCCTGGTCGCGCAGGCCTAGTGTGAGAGCAGTCATGGCCTGACTTTTATTCTAGCCGTTCGCCTTCATAACAGCCTCGAACTGGATTTTGTAGGCTGACCAGGAAGAAGTCCCGTGGAACGGTGGCACTTTGAACCCACGTAGCAAAGGTGTAGTAGCTACTACGGGAGCTGTAGTTCCATCACCCAGTTTGAGGTCGTCCAGCGTTTTCTTCACGTCAGCCACCACGTAATCAACCCGATTGTTCACTTGGTCGATTTGGGTTTTAGCTTCCTTGATTTGGGTTTCAGCTTCCGACAGGCGGTTGTCATGTTGAGCAACCCTATCCTTCACCTCCTTTATCTCTTTCCCAAAGGTAGCATGAAGGTCCTTAATGAGGAGCATCTGCTCTTCCGACCGACGGGCCTGCTCCTCCTGTCGGCGGGCCTGTTCCTCTTGTCCGCCCCGCAGCTGCTCCTCCAAACGACGAACCTGGTCTTCCTGTCGGCGGGCCTGTTCCTCATGTCCGCCCCGCAGCTGCTCTTTCAACTGACGGACCTGCTCCTCCTGTCGGCGAGCCTACTCCTGCAGCATCACCATCAGAGCACCTAAGTCAGGTGCTGCGGATGTAGGAGCTACCGACGGGCCTGCAGCCGGTGGCTGGCCTTCCGACGTCTGCGGCGTTGCACCACCAAATCTCCTCTGGTCCGTCTCCTGCTGGCGTTGACTTCGGGTACGGACACCCTCCGATTCCTCCTTTGATAAAATCGGCATGATTGTATCCCACTTCTGACACCAATTGTTTACGAGCTTGAGGTTCGTGACAATAAAAATTGCCGATAAAATTACCAAAATTAAGACTTTAATTTACTTTACACAAATTAAAACTTAAAACACTAATAATTAAACACACTAATTCACTTTATTCCGCTCCGAAGCTTCGCTTGTCTCGCCAAATCCAATACTACTCGATCACATCTTGCAGCGCCTATATATACAAATTAGCAATGAAGCATCCGGAATATTCAAGTAAATGCGCGCAAAGCGACGAGTGTTCGAGTGTAGATTTTATAAAAACTTAGTTCTTCGGATGGCGCTGTCGGTTGAAAGATTTGTGATGTCATTTTCTGCAAAGCTCCCCTCGCTCTCGTTCCTGACACTAGATGGCGCTAGTGTATGACGTTGAATTATTCACGCAACATTATTTATAATGTTTATTAATGACATAAGTAACTGTTTTCTCAACTCAAAATTTTTATTATATGCAGATGATCTTAAGTACTGCATTCTTCTCCAAGAGGACCTAGATAGACTGACAGACTATTGTAACAAAAATAAGCTTCAGTTAAGCATTCTGAAGTGCAAATATCTCAGTTTTACTAAAAACAAGAATATTAATAAATTTTCGTACTCACTGTGTAACGTTCCTTTAGCTAAAGTGGATTCTATGCGAGACCTCGGTATACCGTTTGATTCAAAACTGTGCTTAGGCTTACACACTGAACAAATTGTAAACAAAGCGTACAAACTATATGGATTTATTATGGATTCAACTCGCGACTTCAAACGGACCTCTTCATATCTTTGTTTATATAAAACCCTAGTTCGCTCTCAATTTGTATATGCTGTGCCCATTTGGAATCCTTATTAAAATAAATAATAAGGATTCCAAATAATAAGGACACCAAATTTAAAATGTTCAACGCCGGTTTCTACGTGCAATGCATTTTAGATGTCATAAATCTTATTTACCGTATGACCAGTTACTCAGTAGATACAAGCTTCTAACCCTCCACTCTAGACGCAAGCAATTGGAGTCTATGACACTGTTTCATATAGTAAGATGCAAATTTGACTGTATTGAATTAAACAATCTGTTATGTTATGTAGTTCCCAGAACTGTCCATAGATGACGGGTGCGTGCGGGTAAAATCTTTGCCGTAAGTACTTGTCGATCCAATACCGGTATTCGTTCACATATTCGGCGTATGGTTGCCACATATAATGAGACCTTCGACCATATAGACATTTTTACATGCTCAAAGGAAAGGTTTCGTGGTCTTTTATACAGGACACTTTTCAAATAATAACTTCGTTATCTTAGTCAAATTTTAATATCACTGTTAACCATACTTTGACATTTGTATAATACCTTCTGTACAGCTGCAGGTCTCCTAGCGGCTGAATTATCTACCCCAAGAGGTAATCTGTGAACAGCACTGTGGGCTGCATTATTGCGTATATTAAGTTACTGTACTTGTACTATCTATATGTAATATATATATATATATATATATATATATATATATATATATATATACATATATATATATATATATATATATATATATATATATATATATATATATATATATAATGTAGTTGTTAGCTGTTCCACTATGAATAAAATAAAAATAAAAATGAATTATTTAACATATAATATATTAAATCGTTATTTTTATAAGTCAGCAAGTCAATATATAAATAATTTATATCAAATTAATTAAAAGTACAATTGTCATGTCAATTGTTATTATTTTATAACTAGGCAAATCATAATAAGTATAGGATATAGAAAAATTTAAAATGTCAAATGAGTACTTAATTTCATGGGAAATATTCAAGAGCTGGTGTTACTCAACTCGCCCCCGGGTGACGCAGCGCACTTGTTAAACAATAGTAGTTACGCATACTTGTGTGCGTAATAAGCCCACAAGCGTTCGAAATCGGGCCCGTTGTTTTTGTTGCGATTGTGGCGCAACACTCTATCTATAATGTGTACCAAATCGGTTGAGAAAAACGGACAATGACCTTTCGATCGTTTAACCAGGGGTTACAAAGCTTCAATATATAGACACATTTTATATGTAGTACCTTCTTTATTTATAATGATTTTTTATTAATACTTTTATAATGATTGATATAATATATATTTATTAACTTTTATTAAAAAGTTATGTAAAAGATCGCTGTAGAAGAAAAATCATCTATTGTTTTAAAGTATTTTATTCATTTAACAACAAAAAGCATTAAATTTATTACACATATAAATATTCGAGTGATAACGACACCGACGAAGTACGTACTTATTCAAAACTATATAAGAACACTTTTTCAATACTATATAAGAACTTTATTTTTGTTCGGTGCATGCGGACCGGCCCAAAAAAGGTAACACATCTCTGGCTGCCATTGTCACGTTTCTTTTAGAACGAAATGCGCGTTTTGTTTATTTTAAAGGGATGAATTTGCAAAAGCTCAATATGGTGATTATATTGCTTCAAATATTTTTTTAAATATGCAACTGTTAATAAATGAATTGCTGCGTTACTTAGCATAAATTGAAATATAAAATATAACACATTTTTTGTAAGATTTCAGGATGTTTATAGGAACCACAGACAATATTATTTAAGAAACAAAAAAACAAAACATGTGTGCTGACCTAGAACTGTGAATAATATCAATATTTAAATATTGTAATCACATCTAAATTGAGATTTTATAATTTACGCCTTTTGACATCATATATGTCCATTAACGGTCATTATCCGTTTTTCTTAATCGATTTGGTACATACTATAGACAGGTATATAATCAAAGATTTTAAGTTTGCTAATGTGCACTGGATTTGCGCGGCGGCTGATGACACCTTCAATAAATAAAAGCATGGGAAAAGTTACCTTTCATAAATTGAAAGCACCTTTTCGCAGCGCAGCAATTAGACGTATGTAAAATGAAAGGTATCTTTTCGCAGCGCAGTAGTGAGTCGTATGTAAAATATGACTTATAATTTTCTTTTACTAATTAATCTGAATTTTAAACGTTAAAATACAATAGCAGTGCTTAAACTTACCCGGCATTGTTTTTTATGTGCGATACTTTTGACCCTTGGGAAGGCAATATGATCCTTGGCCGAAGCGTCTGTAAACACATAAATGTAGGACCCTGGTAGACTCATTGTTACTGCTTCTTCAATTCCCTTCATCGCCATCTCAGGGCAGTCACCGCCACCGTCAACTTTAATTAAACTTAAAGCGTCCCTGAAGCCCTCTTCATTTGTAGTAATAGTTGCAATTTTAATATCTGTAAATCACGTATATATTATGTATGTATCACACGGTTAATTATTACATTAATTCGATGCGTGGAAATAACAGACAGATTTCATGGCTTTGACAATGTTAACATCTCGTATAGTAATCTAACTAATCCCTCAACCCCCACGTTCGCATGCTACCGCGGCCATATTCCGTCAAATCCCTAGCGGTCTCATGAGGTCGCACTCACCCACAGCACTTTAACCCATAAAAATTTACATATAGAGACTACTTTTCTATAAAGAAGTTTGGCATTATATAATCAATATGAAATACTCTATCCTCTAGTGCTATAAAATAACTGTTATCTTATGAATATTTATTTATAATCTACGTTTATTCCGTACGCCATTTTCGCGTGAATGTTAAATAACTTAAATAACTTCGAGTAATATACAGAAATAATTGTGATTTTCACGCTGCCGACATTCCCTTGGTATATTTTCTTGGTATTTTTTTATCAAATACAATAAAATCTTTTTGTAATGAAGTAATACCTGACTTTTGTTTAAACCATAAGATAGAAAATTTTGTATAGATTTTATAATGCTAAACTTCTTCATTGAAAATCGTAAGTTTTAATGGATTTAAGTGCTGTGGGTGGGTGCGGTCGCTTTTGAGCGCTCGGGATTTGCTGGGCGCATGCGACTGCACGGGATTTTTAAGGGGCTTGAGGGGTTAAAATACACTTGCAGGCATAATATATGGAAGATTTTAAATACTAAGCTTGTCAATCTGCTTGACAAGCTAGGAGACAGTAGAACCTGCGTTGGTAATGTGGAAAAAAACCTATGAGCAAAACATCGATAACAGTCTGATAATTATTAGGAAAGTAATATTTAATGGAAACTAAAAATATAAGCATCTATTTATGATGCCAATCCGTGTTTAATAGGATAGATGATATGAATCTAATAAATAATCTAGTAAATTTATAGAATGACATGAAATTCAACATTTTGTCAAACTAAATTGCCTTTATTTATTTATCTAAAGAGTAAAATGTAAATAGGTACTATATTAATAATGTTCGCCTCGTACCGGTAGGCAAAGTGAAAGACCCTGCCCACTAGATGGAGTAACGATCTGATAAGACATGCAGGAAGTCGACGGATGCAGCTGTCTCAGGACTGTGCTTTGTGGTATTCCTTGGGGGAGGCCTATGTTCGGCAGTAGACTTATGAAGAGCTGTAATGACGATTATGATGATAAAAATGTAAATAACGCAATTCTGATTCCAAGACAATTTAGCTTTGACATGGATACATCCAAAGTCCTGCCCGATACAATTGATAGGTGTTTCTAGACGTGGAATTTAATTCTGAAAAACTCACTTATGTGTCCTTGTAGCATATTAAATCGATGTCAAATTGCAAACATTTACGTTCTAAAATGGTATAACAGTTAAGGTGTAATATTTATACGAGTATTACTTATATTAGACAATAGTCTCTAAGAATTCAAAAAAAATCTAGTGACAAACCTGTTCCTCACATGAAGCCCACGCGAGCAAATCCGTGGCTAAAAAGCTAGTAAATATATAATTCCCTTAACCCACTAGGTACACTTTCAGAAATAACCATATTAAAAGTATTTTACGGACACATCGTTAATAGTTATTTAAATTAGCTGTGACCGGCTACGCGTTGATATGGCCAAACAGTTTTCTAAAAATAGGTAATATGTAGGTAGTAGTTATGTCTAAAAGGCGTAATATGAAAACATATTACGACATTGAGTATTTATATCAATGTATTACGCGTTTTTGAATGCAAAGTTTTTGTCAACGAACTTTCGCAGGATTTATAGTTTGAACAAATAAACATTGACATTTATTATATAAGTCGGTAAAATTTTACTATTTATAATCAGTCGAATTTTAAGGATCTAACAAAGTTAAAAAATATTATTACAATGTACTTAAAATTTATGAAAATATTTCTCAACCAATAAAATATCTTCCCGCCTTATGTGGATATCCGGACGGCAAATGTTTAGTGCATGCAAATATATTTCTCTATTTTTTTCCTAGATAATCACGCTATCCTATACCTTTAAACGAGCAACTCTTATATATATATATATATATATATATATATATATATATATATATATATATATATATATATATTTCGTTGGAGCCGTTTCGGAATTTCGGAAACGGCTCCAACGATTTTCATAAAATTTCCATGGAGTGTCCAGGGAGTTTCGGTGGCAATAAATCGATCTAGCTAGGATTTATTTTAAGAAAATGTCTTTTTGTCCATGTTTTTAGGCAATGAAAAACTGTTACAATGTAAGAAGGTAAATTTTGACACCGTGTTAATGACCGTAATAGCTCAAGTGGATATCGAGCGGTCGCGAAATCGTAATGCCTTGGTTCGCGTCCTGTCTTCGGTCCGACTTTTTTCCTTTTTTTTTCAAGTTCTCTTCTTTTGTGAGAAAATCTGTTATTTCGAGCCCTTTTTTTAGTATTTTTTTAAAAATACGAAAAATTTATTAAACTAATTGCACTGATGATTTTTATTCAAATAACCAGTTCAGTTTTTTCTATTGCGTCAATAAGATCAAAAAATATTAATAGAAAATATTTCATATTTCTATAGTATGTAATTTGTATCTAAATGTAATTTCAAAAAAAAATACCGGGCAAAGCTCGGTCATCCAGGTACTAGCAAATAAATTACAAAGCAATATATATTTACCATCGTAATGTACGTGTGAGTTTTATATTTATTTTTGTAAATTAGTTGTTTTAAAAACTAGTAACCTTCAAATATAATTAAAATGCCTATATGTCAATGATTTCAAAAGGAAGGATAGGCCTATCTAAATATTTTACTCATAACTTTTTCATACAAGAAAAATAATGGTTCTGTCATAATACAAACGTCATATCAAAACACGACGTAACCAGGGTCGGATTTCGTAGTATAAGTATCCTAATTGTACCATTATTTCATAGTTTGTTGTATATAGTATCGTAATAACACTAAGCGAAAATACCATAATTTTACCTAAAGGTCGACTTGTATTATTATTGGGTCCTTTTACAATTTAATATTAACCCTACGATATCGAGAATTTCTGTATTGTCAATCTATAATCGATCACATGGGAAAAAAGAAACATGAAACGTCAAACGTGATATAATTTTTTTTTAATAGTATATTTATTTTCCATGTACAATATTTGTGAGGGTCTGAATCCAACCCTGGCCTAATCTTGGTAACATAATTGAACTAACTGTAAAATAAATCTTTAAAAATGCGTTTATGCAATGTAATAAAATTAATATAAGGTTATTTACCGATGATACGATATCCCTTGTTTTTTTAAATCTTTGTATCGCAAGTTTTGCATTCCTTTATCACGCAACTAGACATATTTATGACAGGTAAATCAGTCCTGCGCGCCCACCACCATCGACCGATTCACGTTGGCCCTAAACTGTAATTTTAGGGCCAGCGCACTGGTCCGTTTCAGTTGTTCGGTAGGCCCGGTCGTTACCCTAGTAATATAATAAGTCAATGCTATATGTATCGCTGTTATTAGACATTCAACAAATAAAAATTATAAGGAAAACAGCTACAGCAGGCCTCTGTCACTCTTGCTACCTGCGTGAAATAATTACCTAAAATCGCGAGGCGCCCTGGGCGTTATACGCAGTCGGGGATAGCGCGATGTAGGCAATTCAATGTTAAAGTTTTTAACGCTGTTTACGTAAATAGTTTTATGTAAAAAAAAATTGTAGGTAAAAATACTTGTAAAAGTTTTAATCTGTTTTAAAAATTATATATTATGTATATTACCTATTTGATAGCAAAGCGTCGTTCCTACTTTGATAGCAAAGCGTCGTTCCTACTATAACTGTTGCGTGGATGGATACTAAATGAAATGACCAACAAAAGGTTTCATATCATTTTTAAGTTACCGAAGAATTTTAAAAGGAAGTTACGAAATGTGAATTTATTTAATTTTTTGCTAGATAGGTACTTACAGCCTAAAAGAATTAAGTAATAATTTGGTCTACATAAGAAATACCTAAGTACTTTATTACAAAAATTCGTTAAAATTTACTTCACTATCCAAGTATTTACTTACATACCTATACTTGTCTTTTATAATTCAAATATTTTAAGTTATAATAATAAAAATACTGAAATTAAAACGTTGTATACTAACAACATTTTAACTAAGTAGAATAGATCACATTTCTGTTAGGAATCGTATTTCAGGTTTATTTGTTGTTTGCACTATCTATATATTTCTTTCGAACAAAGCGTTGCGATTCCCGACGAACGACCTTGCAATTTGCATGCGTTAGGCATCGCAGAACTCACATAGGGGCGAAAGAATGGTCAGTCGATCATAGTCAGAATAGGTATTTCACTTAAGTAACATAATTAACACTTCGCATATATGTATTTTTTTACCTTCCATTGAAATCTCTTAATAACTACGGAAAGTCCGCTGTGACTTAGGAAGCGGAAAAAATGCAAAGTAATATGGACACTACGCGCAGCGATAAAGTTTTATTTAGCTTGCTTGCGCGATTTATCTGATTAATAATAATTATGTAGGCTATTAAACGTCGGCAAGCAGTCGACATCAAAGGAGTGCACCTTTTGTACGTAGTACTATTATTTATTCTGTGGCCACAGGCACAGCAACAATCGTTATTTTATGTTTAGACAGTTGAAGACTAATTTTACAAAATTCCCACCAGTTCGTTTAACCAACCTATCAACTTATTTTATAAGTTGTGATACAATTCACTTATTACAGTTTTGATATAGTAGACAATTTTGATAACTCAAAGATATTTTTGCTTTGTAGTTATAATTCAATACACATTACAATACAGTGTGTTGGCAAAGTAGTCACGTAGCAAAATATCTTATTTAATTACTGTCAACATTTGAATATATTAAATACATGTACATATAAGCTATATTTAAAGCAGTTTAACAATACCACATACTAATACTTGGAAATTTTAATATTTTTAAGGTATAATTAACAATACCAAACCTTTGTTATAAACGGTGTATCTTTAGCCGTAGTACTATTTTTTATTCTGTGCTTTAGCGTAGGTACCTTTACTGTTACCGGTACGGTTACAGCCAGACGACGCAGCCTGTGATTTCTATGAGCTAGAGTAACCACTTATAATCAAGTGGACTGTATGTTTGTTGAGAATTTGTGATGAAGATTAAAATTTTTGTTGAATGAAAATTCAAAATCACAAAATTGTTATGTTGGAAACAAACGATATTCAAGGTAAATAGTTTAGGTGAAAAATAAGCACAATTTTAGAAAACTAGCAGTACAATTTTAAATATTTATGTTCAATAAAGGCTTTTTTATAGCATTGGGTGGCAAACGAGCACACAGTCCACCTGATGTTAAGTGGATACTGTGGCTCATAGACGTGCATATTTATCCTCGACTAAGGATCAAAATGACCACGTAGAATGAATGAATGAATAAATCGACATGTAAAAATAATGAATGAGGAAGAAGTCTGTAGTCTCTGCCTACTCCTCTGGGTGACAGGAGTGAGTGTTTATGTATGTTTTATGACCTGATGGTAAGTAGTTGCTGTCGCCCTAGACATCTACATCTGTCCTCGTTAACGAATCAAAATGCAAATGCGTTGTCACCCCTGAGTACTAAGATAGAATGCCTCGATTCCAGTAAAAAGGGTCTCCAGTTCTCTACACTCATCATACGAAACAAAGCAGCATAACGCTGCTATTTTACGCTGGTATTCTGTGAGAGTGTGGTTCTTCCCCGGTCGTGCCGACCCATTCGTGCGACATCTATGACATAGCTGGCTCTACCACGTTTAAAGTTTTCATTATTACTTGACAGGCATCATTTAAAATTTTGTCAGAAAAGCTAGTCCATTGAACGCAGAATTGTGCGGTTACATGTTTACATAATATTAAATTTATAATGTGATTCTGTCAGCGAAAACTAATGCCGTTTTTTTTACAATTTTAAAGGATTATTTCTTGGGATTAATTTATAAACATTTAGAAGTGTTACCTATACAATTTTGTAGCTTTATTAAATTTTTTGACTTTACGACTACACTTAGCAGTGTTCGATACTTTCACAGTTTTATAACATTATTTTACTAACGCTATTTCGGAGGTATAAAAATATCCACTACCCAATATCGTCTCGTGGGTTTCATAAAAGAAGACAGTGAAAAAATACCCGGAGATGGCAGTAGCCTCTTCTTAATACTATTAGCAAATTAAAAAAATATCCGTGGTAGAGCCATGCTGCGGCTATAATATGGATGTAACATGAATTTTTCCTCTCAACTGGGGAAGGACCACGCTTTCGCATAACGCCAGCGTAAAATGGGAGTTTAGAGATTGTGAGCATGAGTGTAGAGATGCGGAGACCCTTTTTACTGGTGATGACGCATTCCATCTTAGTCTACGAGGTGTGACAACGCATATATAAATTTTGATTCTTAATTAAAGATAGATCCACTTACTATCAAGTGGCTCGTTTGCTTGTTTGTCACCGTTATTCTTCAAAATACTGCTGTCGCAAGCCCGCTTACCATGAGTGGCAACTATGGCAAATCCCTCTTTTGTGTAATATATGGATGAGCCTATGTTCAGCAGTGGATTTTTATAGGTTGTAATGATAATAATGTCACTTTTTACAAGTTTTATACGTGGTAAAGCCATATGCATGCATGAGCTGCAATTATATTAGTAGTATAGTTGTAGCACGAATAGGTAAGCTCGACCGGGGAAGGACCACGCTCTCACAGAATACCAGCATAAAATAGTAGCTTAATGCTGCTGTGTTTCGTATGGTGAGTGTAGATAACCGGAGACCCTTTTTACTGGAAACGAGGCATTCCACCTTGGTCCTCAGGGGTGACAACGCATCTGCATTTAGATTCGTTATCGAGGATAGATGTAGATGTCTAGGGCGACAGCAACTACTTACCATCAAGTGGACTGTGTGCTCGTTTGTCACCCTATCCTATAAAAAAAAGTTTCTCGGATTGAAACGTTTATAAGATAAGACTTTGATTATAAAACAAGGGTAATAGGTAACTATTAATAAATATACGAAACAAAAATCATCTTGTAACTCACCAGGATCGTTGAATGTAACTAAAATAAAGTTGGCGACCTGCGATGACTTGGAATTAAGAATTGTGTTGAATATAGCGCTTACTCCACTTTTGACCATCTCAATATCATCGTTCATCGATCCGGTATCATCAATGACAAAAGCAAGGCTGATTTTTTGGTCTTCTAATTGCGCAAACGCAAATACAAAATGAATATTGGAAACACAGAGAATGAAAAAACCGTAGTAACATATTGCTAGTAACATAGTTCACGACCGTTTGTTTGCAGCGTCGCGTTATCACTAAAGCTATTGACGTTTCATTATTTTTAATAAGATAACCTATATACGTTTAAACGACGTGTGACATTTGGCAAAATTATTTTTAACAGCGCGCATCCCTGACACTGCACTGGTGATTTTACCTGCTATTTTAGAGGCTACCGGAGAGATGAGCATCATAAAGATAATTATAGGCAAACCGTTCGTCTGTTTGACGAATATTTTTTTATTTAAAAAACTTACATGTAACACCTTAAGCTAAAGGGTACATAGGGCGGACTTAATGCCATGTGGCATTCTCTGCCAGTCAACGCTGGTTGCCAAGGACAATTGTTGGCAGGTGCGATCATTATACATAGATAAGTGCAAATACATTAAAAAATATACATATATGCAAAGTACATACATACACAATACATTTAAATAGAATATTGTGTTAGTTTTAAATATTTCGCGTTACATTTAAGCGCCGATGCTATTAGTATTTCTTCATATTTAAAAAAAAAGTTATATATATATATAATTTAAATATTGTTTTGACATAATGACGTCACAAAAGTGTATAGAGATGAGCAAATATCCCGATTACGGTTACAATTGAGCGACAAAGACTTATTGAAATCGTCCGGTGAAATTGAGTACAATCCTTATTGAAGAAGATAAATATTAGCTTTCCTTTGATGCTTTTATATTTCGGGTAAAAGTTGTCATCTTTCGTACTTTTGGAGATGTCATCCACCATGCCAAATGCTATGGTTACTCCACTGCTGGCCGTACTAAGAGGCTAAACTATTACCGCTGGACGGCTAAATGACAAATAGGGAAAAAAACTGGTGGGACATCAGCTTCTAATATATTATGGGTCCTACGCAAGAGAATAAGTGCTCTTATGACCCGTTTATATGCTTTAAATATTTATGAGACGAACTGTTGAAGAAATAAGTATGGACATTATTTTATTAAAAAGAGTTGAGGAATCCAACGACGATAAGTCTCCACGGTAGAACGGTAATGGAAACGGGTGTTAGGTACTATGCAAAGTATTATGAAAGCTGTAAAACATCTTTATTAAAATACTATCTCAAATTACGAAGTAATTGCTGCATTCTGTTAAATAATTTTCTTTTTTATTTTTACGTGGTAGAGTCATGCTGCAGCTATATAGTTGTAGTACGAATAGGTCAGCTCGAGTAGGGAAGGACCACGCTCTCACAGAATACGGGCATTAAATGGTGGCTTAATGCTGCTGTGCTTCGTATGATGAGTATAGAGAACAGGAGACTCTTTTTACTGGAAACGAGGCATTCCACCTTGGTCCTCAGGGGTGACAACGCATCTGCATGTTGATTCTTAATTGCGAATAGTTGTAGATGTCTATGGGCCACAGCATCCACTTGCCGTCGGGTGAACTGTGTTTGTTACCCTTATTCTGTAAAAAACAATAAAAAGATAAGAATAAGGTATTTCTTAAGAGAGGCTGACGACGAATTGTTTAATTTATTGCTAATTAACATTTAACGCAAAATATCTTTGAAAGCTCTCTATTTTAAAATAACGTGTAACCATTTTATACACGCTTGTACCACACGTACTTACCCACCACAGTAATCAAAATGCAGATGCGTTGTCACCCCTGAGGACCAAAAAGGAATGCCTCGTTTCCAGTAAAAAAGGATCCATCCCTATACTCACCATACGAAACACAGCAGTATTAAGCTGCTATTTTTACGGTATTGTGTGAGAGCGTAGTACTACCCCGATTGAGTCGACCCATACGTGCTACAGCTGCTGCATATTATAGCTGCAGCGTGATTCTATCACGTATATACTTTTACGTAACAGCTTTTGTCCTATCAACATAATATATCTTCCAATACTAATATTAAGCTGCCTTGTGTTAAGATAAATAAAAACATTAAATCTAATCTATTTATCATCTAATTTAGGGAGAAATCGCTTAATTAATAATATCACGAACTTTATAAACGAACAACGTAACGATACACGAACGAGCGATAAAATTTAGAACTTTTAAATTTTGTGGATAGTGATTAAAACTTTTGTATTTAAATAACTTTTTTGTTCAAATATAAAGTTAAACGTCTCACTGCTGGGCAGCAGCCTCCATTTCTGAGAGGGTTTTAGGGCAAGGAAATGTCCGCCATGCTGCCACAATGCGTGGTGATGAACTTCACATATCTTCGAGATATTTTTTTTATTTATTAGACATGCAGATTTTTTTATAGAACAAGTTTAACAAACGAGTACACAGTCCACCTGATTGTAAATGGATACTGTGGCCCATAGATGTCTAGTCCCACATTTATTCTTGATTAAGAATCAAAATGCAGATGCGTTGTCACCCCTGGGGATTAAGATAAAATTCCTCGTTTCTAGTAAAAAAGTATTGTCGGTTCTCCACACTTATCATACTAAACACAGCAGTATTAAGCTACTATTTTACGCTGGCATTCTGTGAGAGCGTGGTCCTACCAAGGTTGAGCCGACCCGTTAGTGTTACAAACATAATATAGCTGCAGCGTGGCTCCATCACATACGCAGCTAGTGTCCTTGGCACTATGCTGCGGGGAGTAGAACTGTACAATATTTTATGTTTTGGTATTAGTTTCTTTCTATATGGACTAGTGGTCGTGAACGCGACTATTGATCATGAGGCCCCGCGTCAGTCAAAATCAATTATTGACTTTTTCTGTCAAGAAATTCTCAGTAGCAGTAATATTTGAGTGTGAAGCCAACTTTGTTGGGAACAAGATGGTAACGCTGGAGGAGATCTTTTCTTATTTAGTTGGATGCCGCTAGAATTTCGGTGGCTAAGACCTTCAAGAAATATTCTACAACATTCCTGACCATGAAGCAGTTGATAGCTAAAATGTATTTAAAACTGTGATCAGAAAACGCGACATCTATTTGCACCCGAGCAAAGTAATTAGGTAAGTATTTAGGTTATTAAAATTGGAACCTAATGAAAAATTCGATAAATTCCTGGTGAGACTAAGATAGCAAGCCAATAAATGCCAGTTTTACAACAAGGATGATAATATTATCGACTAACTAAACTACTTAAACTATTTAGAGTGTACCTCTGACGAATTGAGAAAAAAGAATTTACAGATAGGTGATCAATAATAACTAGGGACAAAATTATAATCCAGGTAAATTTATTAGAAGAAGTTACAAGGAAATGGAGGATTTCGAGAGCAAAGAAACCAACAGTCATGGAATTAAAACAAAACGGCGGGCTTTGCACCTGGCAGTCTTTTGACTACTTGTACTTGCTATAAATTCAGTTAAATACGTTAGCCGGCACTATGGAACATGAGCTGCTGTGGAGAAGGAACAACAAAATAAAAACAGTTCAAAATTAAGGAACGGGCACTTAACTGAGGAAGCTGCGAGCGCCCTCTCTCTACGGCCTTGCGGGAGCGATGAAATCTTTGTTGCAACTGGTGCACGATTAAAATTGCACTGTATTCTGCCCGACAAATTGAATTGGTTGAGTTGCGGCCACGACTGACAAGACAAGACTGATTCGCGAGATTATTGGAATTTGAAAAAATCCTAATTTCAATAGAGAAGATTGATCGGTACTACCTTCTGCTTGGGATCTTATTATTAATAAAATTAAATCCAAACACAAGTATACCACTGCAAGACTTCAAGACACTGTAAGTTCATTCTGAGTAGATTGGACCAAAAATAAATATCAAAAACTGAAGGTAGCCGCGTTTACTATGACATCGGGACGTCAAACATCTAGACTACCACTCCATGGGTGCTGTAAAGCACCCGAAACTTCGGGAACTAAAAAGTTAAATTAAACTCGATAAAATCCGTAAAAAATAGTTTCATTTAATGTGTAGTGTTCACGTAAATATAAAAAATTACAATATTCTATGTTTTTGTATATTTATGTGAGCAGCAAAAGTCCGAGATAAAACTATATTATAAGGTACCATCATCGGTTGTCCAGGGCTACACCATAGATGACAACCGTGAAACCACCTTCTATGGAACCTCTTCGCCTGTATTTAGGGTAACCGTCTTCACCTGTGCAAGTTTCACTTTTCATTTTCTATACATGGAGATTTGATATTCAAATTTCCGCAAGTAGCATGGATCTTATTGGCTTTGATAATTTCATAAATTTCGGGACTTTCTTCAGGATCCGGTATTTCGGCACAAATTAGGTTATCTTTATTGGCAGGAGAAACGCACTTCTCTAGCCACAGCAAAATATGAATGGATAGACCTCACTTCTGCCATTCGACAGAATGCATATAGCAACGATCGTTTCTAAACAAATTTCCCTTTTTATTAGTGCTAATAATACTTTAATTTTTAAATGAAATACCCGTTCTATAACGTTATATATATACTGGAAGCCACAGGTCGATAGTGTTTGCAGTAAATTATATAAATTTTCATATGCCTTGTATAAGTTAAATAAAAGAGCAAATACGCAAACACTTCGTATAGCATATTTTGGATACGTTGAGTCAACACTTAGGTATGGTGTAATGTTTTGGGGAAACTCAGTGGATCGGAAAAAGGTATTCAAAGCTCAAAAAAGGTGTATTCGAGCAATCAAAAATCTACACTGGACAGACAGCTGTAAACCACATTTTAACAGAGCTGCAAATTCTAACTTTTCCCTGTCGTTTTATCTATGAGACGGCTGTGTTTGTCCATAGAAACCTGCCACTGTTTGAAAATTTAAATAATAGAAGGTATCCTCTGAGATTAAAAGTTCGACAATCAAAGTCAGCAATAATGCGAAAAAGTAAATTTTGCCTACAGCGAAACCGAAAACAAGACTTACAATTAAAATAAAAGCC